GAGAATTAGTACAAGTAAATTAGGTCTTACACTATTTCCTTTATATCCAACATCAATTCAAAACCAATTTACCGTAATTATTAAATAGGATTCAAAAGTATTTAGGATATATAAATTACATCCTTTTACCCGCGACTTCGTCTGCGTGACCGAGATATGTTTATCGACTGGGATAAAAAGTAGCCTTTTCTATTCCCAATAATATGTGTATACCAAATTTCATAGTGACTGGTTAAACCGTAACAAACTAACAAACTGACTTTTACATTTATAATATTAGTAAGGACATTCTACTCCATTAACATTAACCTCTAACTGCTGCCAATATAATGTGACCCAAATTGAGAATGGTTTTTATTTAAATATTATGTATATTATCTCATATAACCACTTTGTACCCATTGTGTATTAAAATTTTAAATTTCAAAATGTGACAATATTATATTAAAATATAATGACGGTATTATATTAATATATTGATAGTAAATCTCTGATGATTTTCCTGTTTGTTTTAATAAATATAATATCGGTGCAGTTTATTTATAAAAGTTCTAATTAAATATTTTATGACAAGTCATATAGTTTCTTTTGAATTATGTGACCTGGAAAGATTTTCGTTTACAGTGCGAATTTAAAATTAAATTCAATAATTCCTCTAAAATAAAATTGACGATCAAACCACTTTATCCCATATTTTGGTGTTTTGCTACCATATAATTTTCACGTCCAAATTTGCGTGATATAGCAACTCTGTATAATTATACTCTTCGTCAACGCGATAGATATTACCACACCCATATTGCATAATGTCATCCAAAAATATACGCCTCAATTCATTGATTTTTTTTTATACCACTGAAGTGGAAAACAAGTATATGGCTTTGGTAATGGTAAACGATTACTGTAGTGTATGAACTTTTACTTAATGGTAAATGATTACTGTAGTCTATGAACGCCTGTAATACCAAGGGTATTACGCGCGCGTCACTGTTATTAGCTATTACTATTACTAGGAACGCCTGTGGCGTCGCTCGCGCGGCTTAAGTTTGTGTTTTTATTGCATGAAACATTTTACTACATTATATAATTTGTTAATGTTGACCTATGTACTAAGCTATTGCCACTTCAATTTCATTAAATTCTATCTGTTTACGTACAAGTAGCACGCTATATTACTGTCTTCGCGTGGTATGTGCACGAAAACAGTCTAGTTCTGTAGTTTAGTTACACTTTTACTACATATATATATTTGTTTTCCTGCTATTTATCCATATGGGTCACTGATTAGATTTGATAAATAAATAAACCTAAATATTTTTCATGTATATGCTTAAATAATCTTGAAGGTAAAATCTCTTATAAAAATAGACAATGTTTTTGCATTAAATAAGGTCATGTTAGTACTCAAAAATATATTATTATTGTATATCTATTATTGTAAATATAAAAAAAGATAATTCAGAGTTCGAAATGTACGCATATTTTATTGTATAGACTTTTATCTATAATGCTACTCTTACAAGGATAATCTTATTAATTATAATAATTTTTCAATAGATACATTAGTAATAATGTTATTTTTAGTAATTATGTAATAATATTTTTTTTATTAATTACATATCATATATTTTTATAAAATTTTAGCATTTCACTATCGCATTTCTTAAATCAATTGAATATATAGATTCATTTCGAACTTCTCTTTTATTTATATTTTTTAACTAATTATTCATTCATTGCTTAAGAACTATAACTAAATTATCGTAATAATGACATAATATGTAGTAAAACATCATAGAATGTAATCGATTATTGGCTAATTTCGCACAGTAAACTAAAAGGAAATTTCTTGTTTAGTCACTTATTATGAAATTCAGTACATATATATATGTAATATATATATGTATATTTATAATAACCAGTTGCAGATATTCCCAACCGGTTGAATTACGTCACGGTGTTGTTGAACCACGTCGCGACGGGTTGCTGACCTCCGACACCATAGCTTTCCACTGAGAAGTGTTTAATTTTTAGGTCAAATTCTAAATCACGAAACTGACTTATTTTTGTTTTCTATCGGTGCTTGTTAATTTTTCTAATCATCAACAGTAATCAGTGATTAAATTATATAAGCACCAGCCATTTCAATGTGTCTTTCTTTGCAGCATTACCAAGGATACCCACAATTTTTCTCGAAAAAGGTAATGTTTTGTTTTTGTAGGTTATTTTTTAAGAAATATATACTAATTTTATATAAACTAAACGTTAAAGCTTTTCGCCAAAATCCATTTATAGTGATGGTTGACCCGAGTAACTAAAAAGTTATGCCAGGTCAAAACCTTTAAAAGTAGGTAGCGACACACTTTGGCTTTTTGTTTAGAACCATATAAGGAAGATTCACACAAAAACTTAGCTTTCACCTAAGGTTACATACATACTACTTATTTTATTTATGCGGCGTTATTCCATGTATTATTAAATATAATTTTTGCATGATTATTTCGTGATTGTGTAAAACTTAATATTTGAGGTATGGTAAAAATTCACATTGCGCTTATAGATAAATTTTTGAGGTGTCAAAATTTTTGTCTCCCATGCTAAGCAATTTGTGTTTTATTCATGCACAAATAATATAATAAAAAATATCTATTATCTCATCATATAACTTTAATGAGCTGTATATGAAATGATGAGATGAAGAATATTTGAATATATAAGATAAACAATGTATGTATTTATTATTTTCTTAAGAAACAATGTATTTTTAAATTTAATTTAAAAATTATATCACAGTTAATTGTTGAAATTTTACCTAAAGTTCTTTATAAGTGAAAATCAAAATAAAATAACTTTGTAAACTATAAAAATTTGGTTATTAAAGGTTTGCCATATACCATAGCTAACGTGACAGAACGATATCGCCACATGAGGGTGACAATCATAGTAGTAATTTAAGTAAGAAGTAAGAAAATATTGACACAGCCTCACATCGCTTGTAATGTGGCAGTGTCTTTATACTTGGTTTTATGTATAGTTCAAGGTCAATTTTAATTTCCAATTTTAAAACATTGTTGCGTCTTATATATTCTTAATTATAATATGTCACAACAATGTCGACAGACTTGCCATTTATAATATTGACACCACAGGGAGTAATTTAAAATATTCCCATTATAAAGTTTCATTTCTTGTAACTAAATGTTGTTGTCTAACAATATGTCTTTATTGTGTATAGGTAACAAATCGATACGTGTAAAATTTATTTTACCAATACGAGAAGATGAAAAATTTTTAATAATACATCAAACGATATCAACGACGATATTTGAGTGGATAGCCAAATTGTATTATAGCGTTTTTTACTTCATTCCAATATTCTATTTTCCTTGCACAAACTACTATATTAAGTTACTAACTATATTCAGTGGATTCACTCGTGTTAATCAGTATATAAAGTATCCTATGTGCTAACTTAGGATATATAACCTACCCGTGTAGCAAATTTCATTCAAATCCGTTCAGTAGTTTTTGGAAAGAGTAACAAACATCTGTCAATCTATCCATCGCCAGTATTTCGCATTTATAATATTAATAAGATTAACGTTTTTCTATAACATATAGGCATGTGTTCACGTTAGATAGCGTTTATTTGCAATCTATTAAGTTTTCTTTCATCATTTGTACAGACTATACTGTTCGATTCACTAACTTAAAATACATGGACCTAAATCTATATGAATAGATATCACATGAAGATACAATATATCAATAGGTCATATTGTAATCAAAATACAAATCCCTTGGAATCATAACTGGTACCATGCTATAAGGGATACCTGTGTTAAGCAATGGGTTAAATAAATGGGTAAAATAATGATTAGGACATTAAAAAAAAAAAATAAAGATGTATACGAGCCAATATTAATTAAAGAAATATAAAACTAATTTCTCGTATACTGTCTTATGTCAAGGTCATGACATAATGGCCAAGTAACATGAGTATCATTTAAAGCATCATCATTACTCATATTAATAAAATTCAAATATCATTCTGTAGGTCAAGTTTTCTATAAAAATATAATCACTTGGCGAGGACAGCGAGTGTTGCATCGTTAGAGTCATTATGAGTTCGTTGAATCTTTATTCGTTCGATATTTAGTTTTATATATTAAACGTAAATATCTACGCTAGTCTGTGCATTTTTTTTTATCTACTTGATTCATTCATATTAGTAATACTAAGTAATCTTTACTAGGCATGTTTTACAAGCATATATCAATATATAAAGTTATCATATGTGTTAATAAATAACCTTGATGAATACAATTTACCTCTACTTGCCAATTATTCTATAATAAATGGACCTAATCCTTACTAATATTATAGATGTGAAAGTGAGTTTGTTTGTTCGTTACCTCTTAATACCTTAATGGTTCCACCATTTGTAATGTTATTTGGTATAATATTGTATACATATAACTTGGTAGATTAAAAGTTGTAGACAAAAGCTAGTGAACAATAACTACATAATAAAGATTCACAATTTTGGAATCACTATCAGACGTGCTTGACAGGTTTCTCATTTCGATAATGCTCGAAATAATAGGTGAATTACTTCATCTTATTCGTGGATCGATCAAATTGAATTACGAAGTAATTGTTATCAGATTGGTATTTCCATAGTTATTTCATAAATGGCAAACATGACTTTCATTATGGCCAACTGACTTTATCAATAAATCTATTTTCGAATTTTTCTATTTACTTCCGTATATATAAAGTCAAAGGACGTAATCAGAAATATACTGTCATATTATAAAATAATTAAAGAACCCACAAAAAAATTTACTTCAGCTGTGACAAAATGAGTTTTCTTGGTCTAAAACTACTCACTGCAACTAGTACGTGACACTCTTGCAATATAACCACTCATTAATAGGTCTGACAGGCCATATATTTTATTTACCTTTATTATCTAATAAAAATATACTATACTTGTATTTAAAAAAAGACTAAATCAGAATGTACGTTAGCCTTATGAATTTAAAGACGGTTAACATTTTAAACTCTTAATTTAGCTGCATGTAATTTCTTTAGAAAGAAGCAACAACTCTATCTAATTCATCTTCGGTAAAACACAATAATAACATACAATAAACTCTTCGCCTATCTACATGACTATCTTGGGTCGCGGACATAAAATAAAAGTTTTCATCAGGGGTATATCGGTCCACGTCTATTCTACAAATCTGAAAATAAAAAAAATATAATGATAATATAATATGTAACTACACTGCAAGTTCTACATTGCTGTATTTATAGATGTCTACGCACATAAGGAGAAATAAAGCACATAATGTTCTCCGTATAGCAACACCAGACAAGTCGTTGCTATTCACCCCGTGAATACCGGAGAGATGGAACAGTCAAGTCTTTATAAAAAAAAAAAAAAAAAAACTAATGGCTTTCAAGAGAATAGGTAGATGTGTGTACACGGAACAGTTTTCAAGTTATTTTTATATAATATAAAATTTACAGTCTAACTATTTGTATATCTATTCATTAATAAATATAATAAGTCAAGAATAAAAATTTATTCACGCCTCTAAAAAGGGAAAAGATTGGTGATCGAAACATAGATAAATAAGTGATTTATGGCACATATATTATTCCAAATATTTAAATATGAGTTATCTGTTTATCAGTTCTTCTGTCTGTTTCTTTATATGCCATCATTTAATTTAATTACTGAGAATTTTCAGAATCAATTATATAAAAATTAGTTCATTTTATAGATGAATGTAAACATTTCTTTCATGGTTGGTTATACACTTTAGTACTATACATTGTTATACTCTATAGAAGAAACTATATATTAAACGTTAAGAAATCAACAAATATTATTGATATTATATTTTATGAGTAAGCAGTGTGAAGCGGATGATACAGCTTGCATAATTTGACCTTTCTATTGCCTGATGTCTTGCGCGACCACACCACTGTGTAACCTACCTACATCAATTCATTTAATGTGGTCCCTCTATAATTTAAATACTTTAATACGTAAGATTTAATTACTTTAATTAAATGATCAATGACACAACCATATCTTTCACTTCAATAGACATAATAGATACTGGCAGACAATTTGTAAATATAAAACCATAATTGTGATTTCAACAATTTCAACGGTAATTCAACGGTATGTAATTAGTCTTGTCTTTCTTTTGAGGTAGTATAATTGTTAATAATTACTGTCAACTTAGGATTTTACAAGGTATTAACATATAGATGTTTAATGTCTTCAGTGAAAAATAATGAACATTTAATATACAATATAATGTAATAATAATGTATTTAGTAGACAAGTAAAGCTATTTATATTATACACTTTACGTCATCTCAAAGATCAACCAATTATCATGAAATTTGGTGTAAGGTAGTAAGAGGCTGCTTTTTATCTCGGTCAATTAACATACTCGTACTCGATCACGTAGATGGAGTCGCGGATAAAAACTAGTTCAATGTAAAATAAAGCATTTACGTAAGTATTACCTTTTTCTTGTTTTCATCGTAACAAATAAGTTCTTCAAAATGACTGTTTAAGAAAGCTTTGGGATATTTGAAATATCTTTGTAACTCAGCATATCTTCCTAAGTGCTAAAAATACATTTTGAAATAGATGACAGATGATCCAAATCATTATTTGATATCAGCATATGTTAAAATTTTATTTTTCTACCATACTTCAGGATCTACAGCTCCACTTCTCCTAACGGTGTCTTGAGGAAATTCATTGGGAAAAATCCGTCGTAGTTCTACGTCCTCGCTGTAAAATTATATATACATTATATATGCCATAATGTATACTTCATTTGCATAAAAAGTTTCAGTACCAACTATACTTACATGAAATGATACATTCCTCATTTTCAGATAAATAATTTCAACCAAATATCTTACATAGGATTCGAAACTTTAAATATGCATCAGCTATTAAAAGGAAAATCACTAAAATTGAAATGTCATACGTCTACTAAAAAATAACAAAAAACAAAAAATGTCCGTGACTGCAATTATTAATAAGGTAAAGCACATTTATTATTCTACAGTTGCTGTTGTGGTAAACGTACTCGTAACATTCGACACGTTTGTCAAATTATATGTGTATGCCAAATTTTATGATTAATAAACAATAAGTTTGGTTGTTGCCTTTGGGCAAATACCCAAAGAGACACAGCTTTATCTCATTTTAATTGGAATAGGTACTATCTATATATCAAATTTTATTCAGAAGTATAATTGAATTAGGAACATACAACTTTAATATTTATTATATAAGCTTTGGATATATTTTTAACAATTCCTATATATAAATATGATCATAATTAAAATCAATCTTCTTTGATCATAATTAATTAAGTACTCACCAACAATCCAATGTATATAAAAAGGTTCGCATGTCTAGTGAACATTGTGTTTGCTATTAGATATACAATAAAAAATAATTATTATAATTTGAGTACACGTTATAATTTTATTATTTTTCGTAATAATATATTTCTCACTTACATTTAATTTTTTAGTCTACTTTCTATATTAAATCCCTGTTTTAACTCATTGGACAATAATAAAAAAATATGTATACTTATATATAGGCTTGCTTATAATATCGAAACTCAAATATATCTAAAAGAATAAAAAAATAAGTCGCATTATAATAAATAAACTTTAATATTGCAATACTGATATATGATCTATAAAATATTTATAGCTAGCCTACCTTTAAACATTATGTTGCTTTCGACTATGAAATATATTTCATATTGTGTAGAGAACATAATATGTATGTTTTTATATTTTAACTTATTTATTATCTTATGTAAATATCAAAATATATAGATGTATTTTTTATAATAATAGTATTATTAGGTTCGCGTAAAAAATAATGAAGCTAATTTTACGAATTTGACAAAATAATTTAAAAGTTTCTACGAAACCCGTCAATACATGGCAATATTATTATTTTAAAGTTAGATTTTTGCGACAATTAGTCATAAAGACTACAAATCTACCAGATTGATTGATATACAGAGAGATTTTGTACAAGAGCACACGAAGAGCACCTTACCACGGGTATCGTAGTCTATTCTATGATATCCAGATATATTTCTAATATCAGCATTGTTAATAGCTATAGACGTTGATTACCACTTTCTATCAGGTACATCATCAGCTTGTATTCTAAGTAATTTTTTAAATTTAACGAGAATTGCGAGACGAGACGCTGTGACGCAAGGGACCGTACTCTCTCTGAGGAAGACTTCTAGATGAAGTCGAAACAATAATCGGTTACGACAAATAAAAAGTTTATAAAATTCTCGTTATACACGCCATATACACATATATACGAGTATACACGCCATTCTAAGTTATGTACAAAAAAACTCTTTTAATGGTGATTTCATGCAGGCAAACAGTAAGGACGATCCCCTACTATATTAAGCGACGATCTCAAGTGTATATGTAAATAAATATAATGGAGGGAGTTAGTGGATGCAGGTAGCTTTGGTGCTAGAGTCGTTCCTGATGGCGGTTTACGGAGTAGCCTAAGTAGGTTTAATTCATGGTATAATATATGGCTAAAAGTATAAAGATGGCGTTAAAATTTAAAACCCATTATTTTAAGAATAATCATATCGTCTTTAAATGTCCACTGCTGAACATAAGCTTCTTCCTTGGGGTGTTTTGTCAGTAGTTGCTACGCTTGGCAGGCGGAATGGCAACCGCAGTTAGGCTTTAAAAATATTTTAAGAGGGACGCTGCTACTTATTCTTTGCCCTCCCTTAGTCGCCTCTTACGACACCCACGGGAAAAGAATAGGTGCCTTATACCAAGCCGGAACCACACGGCGACTTTAAAAATAAAATTATGTAATATTGTTTTATTTTTTCAAAATTTTTAGAAAAAATGTAGCATGAAATCTACATTTGAAGTAAATACGAGTATTTTCTAAAATTGGACTGATGTGGTAATTATTGGTTTGTTTGAATTTTATATGTTTCTTAATACAAAATGGTAATATATCTACCATTCCAAGTAACTGTTATCTAATATTTAAGGCGGAGTACATACTGCACTGTCGTCCAGCGCGATCAGCTGCTACGGTCCACAGATCGCAGCGGCGCAACCATGGCGATGTGCGGGCCTTACCGCCTTACCGCCTACGTCTTAATTATGGCATGAGGTCTCTGTATGACGTCAAATGAATTCATTAAATAAGAGATATTTATTTAAATCTATCACTATTTTTCGTATAGATAAGTAGTAATGCCATCTACAAAAGTTTTGAAAACAAAATTGTTATTACTCTAGATAGATTTAAATCTAAATTAATATTATAGAGAGAAAAAACGATTTGTTTTTTTGTTTTATTTGTAATAGATTTTAAAAAGTATTTCACTCATATAATATATAATTACATTATTTCAGTTCAATATTACGGGCTGTATTTCATTTAAAAATATTACAGAATTAAAGTTCTGTTTATTTTCCTGTTGGAAGTCGAGACGAATGGTTAGCATTTACGAGTATATACATACGTAAAGATGGCATTAAACTGTTTATTTTTTCGTTTTTAATATTGTTTAAGTATTAGAAATTTTGAGAAACTTACCTTTTCCTCTCCTAATATTTCAAAAACTAGTTATAACAATATTAGTCTTAAAATATTAAAATTTTAACACGATTATAAGATATTCCTCGCTTATCGTGTATTATTACTTATATTTGATATAAAACTTGTTCATTTGTTTAATTATTTGCTGGTCGAATTTGTTTTAAATTATATCGTTTTCACTATTACTTACTATAAAGATAAGTAGTAAAAAAAGGCAGGAATCGCGGCTGTCCGCGACGCATGTACACGCCGCCTAATACTATTTATTATGAAAACACTACACGCACATTCATTTTTCAACCTAAATTATCAAACGATTCAGATTATATTATTGCAAAACTATCATTAGTTGAATACATGGAAAAAAATGGAAGTAAAATAAACCCATGACAATACTTAAATCAGGATTAGATTAATTAAATAATAAAATAATTTATAGAAAGGTTCAAAAGTGTTTGTGTATAATTTGAATATAAAAATAAATAACAAGTTATTGTAGCATTTCTATCAAATTGTAAATATATAATAATATTATCTGCTACAATAGTGTAGCAGGTAAGATAATTATTTCAAAGGTATATTACTTCCCTTTTTTACTACCTACATCAACATTACTTGATTAATAAACTGACACATACAAATAAAACTGCAACGAAATCTTAATTGCTAATAGCAGTAACCTTGGTATGCAAACGACAAAGGAATTGTAGCAGCAGGAGTCAATATTTTTTTAACTTTCTGGGAGTCTGTTTACTAAAAGGTCAAACATAATTGTCTCTGTTGTTATAATTGCATATTATTGCATTCTCATCTTCTTTCGTAATATTAATCTTTATTTAGTAATTTTTGTGAAGGTTAAATTAAAATAATTTCAATAATCAAGTTTACCTTGCACTTGTCTTATCTGCATTGGCATTATAAGCTACTAACATTCCAGGGTTGACTGCAGGATTCTCCTTTTATTACAGACAGGATGTTTAGCTCATTATTTTACGTTTTGTTCCAAATAAACAAAATGACTATTTTGGTTATCATCACTTTTTACAGATACTAAAATATCTATGATTCTTAATAACGTAACATACTGACATATCTCTATTACGCCTGTCTCTCATTGGTATAGGCAAAGACAATGGAACAACAAGTATACTTGTTATTTATATATATCTATTCGTTTATATATGTAATTTTAGTATTTATGTATGTATATCAATAATTACTAGTACCGCATTCGAATATTCTGATACTTCCCTATGGTTGACTGGGAGAGAATGCTTTTAGTATTAAGTCCGCCACGTATACATATATGTATTAATGAATAAATAAATAACAAAAATAAAGAAACAACATAATTAATAAAATAAGCAATATAATAATGAAAATCTTATATATAAAATTCTCGTGTCATGGTGTTTGTTACCAAACTCCTCCGAAACGGCTTTACCGATTTTTATGAAATTTTGTGTGCATATTGGGTAGGTCTGAGAATCGGCCAACATCTATTTTTCATACCCCTCAATGATAAGGGTCACCCTCCCCAAAAAAAATATTTTTTTATTTTTTGACATATTTTTCCATTTTTATTTTATTATGATTTAGCATTGAAAAATACATACACCCTCAAATTTTCACCGTTTTACGATCAACTCCTGTTTTTTAATTGCGATTTTTATATGCTGCAATAGGGTTGCAATATGGCAATCGAATATAATAATTGTAGTAGGATAAATTTTCATGTATAGTTCTAAAAATAATGTATATGGTAAAACAACGTTTGCCGAGTCAGCTAGTAATACATAAAATTAACTTTTTTTTATTATTTTGTGTCAAGTCAATACTTCACGTACAGCTCTGATAATTATTTCAAGGGCATGCTCTTATTTTACTTATAGCCCATTAACTTCGAGTAGGTGCTATAAGGAACTATATAGAATAAGGAAATATTACCATTAAATTGGAGTGATTTAATATCTACTTTAAAGGTAATAGTGTAAAAATTATTCTACAAAAAAAATGGCCTTGAACCATGTCATAATTAGTATAGAGGACGCAGGTCTATCCTTACGAAAAAATAAATCATTATAAAACGAGCTGAGCATATAACTTTATCCATATAATCGAAATTAGGAAATATATAATATTATTAATTATATTTTTTATTTCTTAATATAAATATTAAGACCCTAACTGTACGCCCTATAACTTTTATTGTATACTGTAAATCAATTTAAGCATTTTAATAATTAGAAGTAACAAAACTAGAGAAAGGTTTTATACTACCGGTGTCTGCTTGGATACCCCAATTTTGCTAATATCATAAAGTAGCTATGCTCAAATGGCTGTATTTAGGTTTGAAAGGTGGAATATACCTCGCGGTGAAATTATAGTTTACGGAGGCATAACGTTTTATTTCTCAGGAACAGTAACGCCATCGGCATCACAATGTTTTTTGTGATATCCATAGTGAATAGTGAATAGTGACGGTTATTATTTTTCATCTGGTGGGCCACCATCTTGTTTGCCATTTCTAATTAAATAAAAAAGAAATATATAGATAAATCAACACTCTGACAAAATGATATAAAAAACTTGCTCTTTAGATTTTTCAATTTATAGGTCCTGCGAATATAAATAGCTAATGTACAGACATGAAACTTTTTAATTTTTTTAATAGTATTTAGCATCCATTGTAAGGTTATGTAAGTATATAATATTAAAAATATGTATATTAAATTATTCTTAGCTGACTATAAAATAAAAAAAAACATGCAGTAGGTACTGCTGTAGCACAATAACTCATTTTCTCGACAAAATTTTGCTTTATTTGCTGTTCTTTTAAATCCAACCGAATCATATTAATCCTTATGGACTCGGATATTTTATCTCCAAAGCTTTAAATTAAAGTAGGTACATGTCCGAAGACTTTTGAAATGCAACTGCATACAAAACAGATGTAAGTAGTTTACCTTCGTAGACGACATCTCTACGTTTTATATAAAAGACACACTACGAAATTTTAGATTATTTTATACCATCACAGTTAATAAACAACTGCGTAAAAATGAATAAACTGGTGCGTAAATATAGGATGTTTAAAAAAATCCAAATTGTAATCTACTAATTTAACAAAACATTTAATAATGAGAAAGTATCAGTTACTTTTATTACATCAATTTTGGAAGGAAATATCTTAATTACAAAACAACTGTTACTCGCACTATTCTACAATGTAATTTTTAGTATTCCCTTCGATTAAAAGGAATAAAAGGATCTGTAAATTACTATTTAAGTTATATATAAATATCTTGAATAATAACTTATTGATTTTACATATCTATGTTATAAATTATTTTATTTTTATTTATTATAATTAGAACTATTAATAAATTCAAATTAAGTATTTTCAAAAGTCTGGGGTCGGGTCCGGATTTTTTGTTAATAGGTTTAATTTTTCGTGTTTTGCTGTTTTCTGATTTATACATGTTAATTCAATACACACACAAAACTTGAATGTTTTACACAGTTCTATACCTATCTTCTTCGATATAATTAATAGTTATTTACCTATTTTCAGTTACTGGTGTTATATTTCGTTCTTGCCGTCATCAGTGTTAATTCGCAGTTGATAGGTAAATTTCTCGCTGGAGCACAGAATACAGCAACAAAGTTACTGAAATCTGACAACAACAACGACGGAAGTGGCAACTATTATTTCAAGTATGTATTACCATGCTATAACAACCTAAATAGACCTTACTGCGGGACCTTCCTTTATAGGAGAAATATTTAGAAGCCCACGATATTTCTTATGCGTTGCCATTCTTGAAGAAAGGTAAAGTAAGTGATAAGATAAGTTTACTATGTTACCCTGAAAGGAAGTTTTTCAGATTTTCCTCATTTTACAATATTTTTTTTATGCAACTTAGAATGGCAAAACAAGCTGACGGCCCACCTGATGGAAAGTGGTAACCGTCGCCTATAGACATGAGCAGTACCATGGACATAACAGAGTGTACTGTTTCGCCCATGATACCCCCCATGCGTTGCCATTCTTGAGGACTCAGATGTTATTCCTTTAATATAATATAATAATAGCTTCGAAATGATACAACATCGTAACCTTTAATAAAAGAGCATATTTCTTTTTAAAGGCCGGCAGCGCACCTGCAAATCCTCTGGTGTTGCGGGTGTTCATTCAAGTCACTTACCATCTAATTAACTCATGCTTGTTTGCCCACTGTATACACATAATATATATACTCGTATATATATAAGCAGGTTTTTTGTGCGCATATTACGTGATATCATTATCAATTTTGATAATTATTTTAATTATCGATTAGCCATAAAAATCTACGACTAGTAAATATAATAATTTGTTATTATATATTTACAGTTATGAACAATCTGATGGCACGAAGCACGAGGAAACGGGTGTACTTAAAGATCCAGGTAGTCTTAATCCATTTGTAGTGGCCAAAGGATTTTACGAATGGATTTCACCTGAAAACAGAAAATATCACGTCCAGTATGAAGCTGACCAAAACGGATATCGACCAAAAGTAGAAGAAGGCCCCGGGGCAACTCCCATCAGAGTGGTAGCTACTATGATGGGTGGATAATTAAATATTTACAATTAGTTAAGTATTAAGAGTGTATGTTAAAAAAATATATAAAATATACGTAATTTTTTTTTTAATATATCTCAGCAACTACTATTAATTAGTCCACACATACCTACTGCAATGATTTTTTTTATTTTTTTTCTCTACAGTGTTCAATTGGAATAATCAAAATTTAAAAATTACTCCAGTAGTTTAATTGGATGTAATTGTTTGTTTGTTACCTTAACGGCTTAATAAATTACTATGAAATTTGGTATATGTATGGGATGAAAAATGATATAGCGTATTTTTATCCCAGCCAGTAAACATATCCCGATCATATGAACGAAGTTGCGACTAAAAGCTAGTCTAAAACAATTATAGTTTATAAAGGAGTATGTAAACATTATAGGAAAAATATAATGAAGTTTCTAACTTCCATAATTAAAAAAAAGCCTTAAAAAGAGAGTTCCTAGTTACAGTAACGATAAAAATATTTATCAATTTTTAATTTCATATAAACGATAAGGTTATTTTATCTTATATCTATTTACCCTTATACATTTATACATATTCACACATATTTTAAATATTTTTTTATCTGAAAAAAAAAACGTAAAGCTGCTTATAGATTATTTTATTTACGCAATCCTCAGCACATGAGTTCACCTCACACTTGATATCCGTTTTATTTTTGAAGTGCTTTTATTTTTCTTTCCAAAATATTGAAGTTAAAAACTTAACGGAAATACATACACAGCACGGCATTAACACTCCAAAATAATATCCACAATATGCGAATATACCAACTCATCATGAACAGAAATGTTTGTATTTCGAGGATCGAATTTGCAAGTAACTAAAGAAGTATATTGACATTATTAAAAAAATACTTGTACTATTTTACAATTGTCATAATTAATACTTGACCAGTTTTTCCGTTTAAAGTATTTCCAAATCTTTATAAAAATTTGCTTTTAAAACAAAACATTTCACTAGTACAGATATTTTTCTAATAATATTAATATGCGTACAAAGCGCCACAATCAATATTATTAAAATATTAAAGCATATATGGTTATTTATTAACAAAATAAAAACAAATTAACCACTTAATAGCAAAACCAGGCTACTACCCAAACTGTTAAAAAAAAAAACTGGCTGCAATTCCACATAAAAATCCATTACATGCTACGAAATGTCACTATTAGATAAATAAAAACAAATCTAATAAGAAAGTACAAATGGAAATAAACTTATTCTAATATAGAACAGATTTCAAAAGAAGTTTGAATTTAAAACAAAAATATGTATGAACAAGAATGTATAAAGCAATGTCTCATATTCACTTGGCTGAATTCAATACAGCAAGGGCGTTATTTTGAATTCAGTCAAGGTAATAATTTTGAAACCGTGTGATACACTTTACTATTTATTCCTCTCTATACTATAAAGAGAAGTAAGAGGTCATTCCGTACAAAACTTTTAATTTTAAAACTCTTATAGAATATAATAAATAAACAAATTTAAAATATTTTGTTGTTAGTTAAAAAATAAACGATCACCAAATATTTAAATTAACGTACACATTCGGAGAGTTTTGAAATGATACTGCATACAAAATAGGTCTAAGAAGTTTGCCTTCATAGGTCAGTTGCCGTGAATATGAAAATTACTTCTCTAGATTTAATATAAAAGACACACGATAGGGAACCTTCAGATTATTTTAGTCCACTGCATCAAAATGAATAAACTGGTGCGTAGATATGTGATTACTTTTGTATTAGTAATATGTTAATCATAAGTGCTCAGTGTTTAGAGTAATATAGTTTTAAATTAATAAATTTTGAATAGAAATATTCTTTTGTGCTGTGGGTTTTATGTGATGGTGTGACAATTTTCTAGACACTCGTAGTACACAGTGACATAATTTAATATGTATCGACGACTTCGTAAAGCTTTTATGGGTTAGAATGGGAGAGTTGAATGATTTTATATCTTCTTATGTTATTTTATTAACTATAATCTGATATCAGTTATTTATTAGTTGAAATTCATGACTCTAAAAACTAGAATCAAACAAAGTACAACAATAATTAAATAGATGATTCTTTAATTCTACATTTAGTAATTTATTACCTTTTTCACTTTTAAATATTTACCTTATTAAATTATGGATATGTGAATAATATTGTTTAGATAGTCTTTTGTAATTGATAGCATGACCTAACGGTATATAAAATTTATTATTATTGTTATTCCATGTACTTGTTACTATTGTGGAATATCTATATATTACTGCTATCAGTTATTCATACTGGGAAAATTAAAAAATAAATGTAAATTTAATAATAATGTTGATATTAAATTATGCTGAAGCAAATCATTTTGAATTCTTTTTATATATATGCAGTTTGTCAAGGTAACGACAACTATCAATTACTACACTGTGTTAGTGCTTTATCTCATGTTCGAATTACACTAGTTTCTTACCATCCAGTAGGATAAGCACTTTTGCCAGTTACTTATTAACCAAATATCACAGACTGCCAGTGATTCTTTCCCGCTAGTTGTATCTAGTGTGACTATAACTTCCTCTAGTATCTACATTTAGATAATATATTACTGTTCCTAAATTCACATTTTTTTTGTAAATTGACAATACCCTGACAATCTAGTACGTAACACAACCCTGCTCTCATGGTTTTTCACAGACTATTATACTACAGTATCTTAACTGAATGTTGGAATATTAACGTGATTGTGTTGTCAAGTTAATCCGTGTGTTTAATTATTCAATGGGTCAGATTTTCATGGGAACCAATTGTTTCTATTCATACTTATATCTTGTACGTAATTCTTTTTAGAGATTCTATTTGAGTATTTAAGTCCAAAAAACTGTTCACTTTTCATTTGGTATTCTAAATGTAATCGCAAACTGATACAAAATACTTAATTGTAAGTGATCTTTTTTTAAACAGATTAACGTTTTATTTTAATTATAAGTTTAGAAATAATATTACACCATCAAGTAGATAGATTATATACATTATTAATAATACATTATTATTAATTCAGTGACATCTAGAAATAAATAATGTAAAAATAATTAATCTTTTTACCCAATGAAGAAGTATTTACTATTAAATTTGAATTATCGTTAAAAACTAGGACAAGTGCAATTAGTTTTAATTAACCGTTGTTGTAACTTGAAAATTAAATAAGAACCGATCTAGCATGAGTCGGACACGCACTCGTAGAGATTCTATACTGATAAATGTAAACAAGCTTGTTTTCTTTATATACTAATTTAAGTGAGGAAGTATAAGGCAATTTATTAAGATACAAATATGTTATTAATGTGGAGTAGATATCTAAAAATTAATGTGAATAGGATTTCCTTACTTTGGATCATAACTGTGGTTATAAACCGAATCGTATACGAGTAATAACAGCTCGTTGCAATACGCTTTAGTAAACAATGTTTTAAAGTGGATAGATAGTAAAAATAAATAGCATTGGTAGTTACTAAAATACTAGTATGTTGCTATAATAGGTAGACCAATTGGGGAAGACACATTAAAAGGGAATCAGCAGATTTAGGTAATATGTATAATCTTAAGATTCCATTACTATTACTTGTACATAATAGTTTATAGAAAACGGTTCTTATGCCAAATAATTAAGATCAAAAAATAACCCGAATTACCACACATACTTACTATTTTACTATGTTTTTAATTTATAGAACCCTAAAAATATAAAAAATTATCTGTAAAAACATGATACATGGGAAGAGGAGAGGAATAGGTGATTACGAATAATACTAAGAGCAAGTAGCCATTCCTAACAAAATATCCTGTCAGGTTATACTGAATAAGACACGATATTTTATCATTTCCAAACAACCCTCATCAGGCAGTGTAAACTAATACCACAAATGGTTATTTCCATTTTATCTATACTTATAATAAATCTGTAGAGAGGTCAATTCTGTACATGAAAAATATTTCCAAAATAACTATCAGGGTGTGATTACTGATCGATACTGATGCCAAAAATGCAATCAGTAAAATTTTTGTCTGTTTATCTGTCTGTCGGTATGTTCGTTATAGAAACAAAAACTACTCGACGGATTTTAACGAAACTTGGTACAATTATTCTCCATACTCCTGGGCAGGTTATAGTATACTTTTCATCACGCTACGATCAATTGTAGCAGAGCAGTGAAGGGAAATGTTGGGAAAACGGGAAAAGTTACTCCATTTTTAAGCTTCCGTTGCGTGTGCAGCCTTAATGGCCACTTTTTAAAATGTAAAAAAGTCCACCCGTGCGACGCCGAGACGGGCCGTCAGTTCTATATAAAAATATGATATATGGAGATTATAATACTGAACTTTCTAAATTTAGCTAGCTCTGAATACTACTAGTTGTGTGCTGTGGTTCGAGCACAGTGAATTCGTATCCAGATCGTTTTACTTGAATGATATTTGTTATAATCTAACAAATAGATAATGCTCCACATAGAAGAGCGGTAACTTGAATCACGATAAACTTAATTAGGGACTACACTTGCTACTATAAACTGTATATTACAAACAAATTATCAAAATCGGTAAGGATAGTGAGTAACATACACTTAAAATGAAGTATATAAGTAAAATGAATTTTTTTATCTGGAATTCGTTTAAAACTAAATAAATTTATTCTAAATATAAGTTTAAAAATTTTAACCTTCCAATACCTCAATCTAACAAGACTTGAATTCATATCTCTTAACTTTCCTGTTAGTAAGAAAAACGTAAGCGTATTGCTTGCTATTTATTAAATATCTTAACCAATTGACATTTAAGCGATTGCCAAATTTCATGCTTAATATAAGATAGGTCCTCACTGTATCTTGTTCAGAGTATGTTTAACCATATTACTGACATCATTATATAAATATGAATAATACGGTTCGTTCATATGTTTTTATTAATATTTATTTTTACTCAAATATTAGACTTTTATCCTTTTAACTAATTTAAAAAGTACGTATATAAATTTTCGGCCTTTCATTCTTTCTAATTAAAGGCGTTTGCTTTTAGTATCAACACTTAATATCTAATTGCATAATGTTAAAATAAAATGTATATATAGTACGCTGTACTACATAATTAATAATCATTTGTTGGTTTTCAGTTATTCGCATTGTGTCTGGCTCTGGCTATCATCAGTGTCAATTCACAGTTGCTAAGTAAACTGATCGGTGGTGCACAGAATGCAGCAGCGCAAATTCTGAAATATGACAACGACAACGATGGAACTGGCAACTATCATTTCAAGTAAGTCGTACTAATGTACTCGTACAATAAATAATTTTAATAGTTTAAGTGGTTTTACGTCCCTTTATTGGGCGTCCTGATATGAGCCTAGTCTTACGTGGTCTACAAAAAAGCACTGTGTTTTTTTTTTCGAAGATTCCATCTCTTGATTTTTTGTAGTGTTTTTTTCTCCTAATCAAAATAAAAAAAAATCATCATATCTTTTCATCCCCAGGATCTCGTAGGAACCAGAAAATATATCACTATATTTTTTATATACCACGAAGGTGGCAAACAAACAAACATACAGCCCGTCTGATGGTAAACGATCGCTGTAGTCTAAGGACCCCTGAAAAAGTAAAGGTAACACGTGCACGTTGAAGAAACTTTAATACCTTTTTGAAGAACCCTATATGTACCTATACATGTCATAATATATCACCATATATATTTACTTTGTTACATTATAGATTATACATGAAAGTTATATATGTATATTAGTACTAGTAATAGTGGTTATTCTAACCTTGTCGACTAATATGAGTCCGTAGTACGTATATTTAATTTGTGATTGCATTTGATGTAAATTATTACCTACTTACCTTTAATTAAAATGTTTACACTGGCTTGTGTATAAACACATATTAAACGTATTAATGTTTATTACAAAATCACAGCAGTATGATATCGATTATATAAAATGTATTTGGTTTGATTCTAAATGGATTCAACTATGTTTGTATAACATTTAGAAGAATTGATTGTGTCAATCTATTAGACAATATGCCTATGCTTATAAACATTAATGATACCATAAAATTTTCTGTGTCGTCTATGCGTTGTTATTCTGTGTTATTCATCTTGTTTTAAAAACTTACTGACCACCTTGCTCTTCTGACCAAATTTTAACGATAACATTACTGTAACATTAATATATATTAATATATAGAATATGATGCAATTTAGTAACATAATAATTTGCTACTGTATTACTTACAGTTATGAGCAGTCTGATGGCACCAAGCATGAGCAAACGGGTATACTTAAAGACGCAGGCAACCTTAATCCGTTTGTTATTGCCAAAGGATTTTACGAGTGGATTTCACCTGAAAATAAGAAATATCGCGTTCAGTATGAAGCTGACGAAAATGGTTACAGATCGGAATTAGAAGAAGGTCCCGGACTTCCTCCAAACGTTGGAGCTAGTTTGCTTGGTTGATAATTCAATAATTAAAATTTATTACACTATATTATGTTAAGCGTTAGGTATGCATTTATATCATTTAATAAAAATACAGAAAAAAAAAACATGTTTTTTTTTTATAATGATGATGTCTTCCTTGTATCTTTTATAAGGCTCGTAGAAATCGAATAGAATTACTTCCATTCGACTCTACGTTGAAGTTTCCACTTCTCCCAGATCTGCGGTCTGCCACTTGGAATAGTTTCCTTCTCATTTGCTCGTTTTCACGTTGTTCTAGGATGACCGGGCTTTTTCTTGCCATTTGCTTGCCAAATTTTATCTTTCATAATATTTTATTTCTAATATAATCATGTGTCGAGTATTCAAACGGGTATAACAAGCATAATATTGCTCCTAGAAAAAAATAACTAAGGAATTTAATATATACGAAATTAAAATAGGACCAGTACTGGAAGTGAACCATATTAGTTGCAAAAAGAATTGTTAAGTTCTGTACCGAATTGACGATATTGTTGGCGACGCGCTAATAAAAATATCTTCTGTTATCATTAAAAACTTCATTGTCTTAAAAGTCGTTAAAAATGTGTAAAATTAGCAACACAGTTTTAACATAATTAACAGCAGTTACAATAATTTCCTTAAGACTGATATATTGCAAATATAAAGATTTTTGCATAAGGAGTCTTTCTATTTAAATTACATTGGTATGTATATTGAAAAAGTAGCATTTTTTTTAATTATGTATGGGAGGACTATGAACGTATGTCAAAGGCTATTCAATAGAGTGATGACGAAGTAATATAATATTATATAATTTGATTTACAAAAGCCTCATCTGTAGCTGCATTTGATTTACATCTAATTTATATAATTGGCGAATCAAGATCTATAAAATTATCCGTAATGACGCATCTATCATGTCATTAATATAAGTACATATTGACTTTATAGTCAATGCAAATTATATTATTAAACATAATTTGCAGCTGTCATCAAATAAGTATTTGAACTTATTGTGTGAATACTTACCTAACCAAACAATTCTTGATATATTGGTCGATTAATTGATTATTTTCTGACCCTTTAATCAAATATATAATCACCTTTTACTATTCTGAAACTGTGATATCAAACGATAAAATACCATTAATTTAAAAAATAATAAGAGCCATAGATATAGTTCTCTATTTTATGTATTCCTGTAACGTTGAAGTTTAAATTTTTTTGTTATTAGTACATAAATGTCACATACATTGTTTTACTACTGACGCGCGAAAGGAAACCTTTAGAGATGAAAGAAATTGTTATATGGCCGAATATAGCTACACGTGTATGAGCAAATTTAAAGTTTATAGATTTTTTAATGGGTGATTAAGAAATGATAACCTAGTATGCCCTATAGGTAAACACTAGTGGGGTACCAGAGAGTGATTATAGATGTGGATGAAGTCAGGTTAATATGGCCAAAAAAGGCGAATTCACTAGGAAATAAACACATTAGTTTCCAGTTAATGTCTATGTATTTAAAAATCAGTTGTTGTTCGTCAGTCTTGCCAAAACGTCGAATACAAACCAAAAACGTGGATGACGACGAAAGTTACCAGTTCCCATCAGGTGGGTTGCCATTTTAAATTGTAAGAAATAAACATAATTTGAATATTTTTTTTTTTATTTTGTTTGCTGTTTTGTTTGTTTATTAAAATGAAGCACCCGACTGAAATGAATAAGGATATCTGACTGGCATAGGCGATAATTTCCAAATGAATCTATATCCAAAGGAATATATAGATATCGCGGTGGTATTAATATTACCCGTGTCTATTATGCAAAATGTTATGAAAAAGGTAAAGATTATAAACATTAAAATGACAATGAGAAGGCACTCACTAACTATCGTCTGAATTTAAAATTTTAATCGAATTTAGACTTAGACTTTATAGGTGTCAAATATGGAATCAAGGAAATAGATATCTACATCGCAAATAGTTAAAACATATATATGCTGACTGTAATAATTTATTATGTATAAAATATATATAATACAAAACATTTTTTCTTTCAATTTGAATATAGGTTTGCATCATTATGTTATATTATATCATACAATACACTCAACAATAAAAAATTAATACGTGTATTATTAAAACATAAAAATGCGTTCGTGACCGGAGAATCATCTGCTATTTAATAAACAAGTAAGCTAATTGAATGAAACATTTTTAAGTTTGTAAACCTTGACCATCTTTATGGTTACAGTGACATATCAAGTGTATATATTTAAGATAAGTACTTACTTGAGGTATATGTATATACAATTTGTGTTTGCACTAAATTACAATATATATTTCATTTTATTTATTTTCCCATGTTGACGTATATTAATTAATTTAACCCATTCCTTAAAATTTGTTTTGTTAATAGGGTTTGAAAAAAATTTTTTTCCTATGAATTTTTTTTATATTACCAAATAGTAAAAAAAATTAAATTCTTGAAAAAATGATATCTATATATGAAATTGTATATGTACCTACGGAAATACACAGTACAAAGTACGTACGTACATGCCTATTATTATGAAGTGCCGTTGTTACAGACACAGAATGTTCTTTTTTCGGGAATTTAATTTATTTTGGTTTTTAGTTTTTCGTAATATAAAACTGACCCGATTAATGAATTTTAATATTACTTTCAAGGAATGGGTTATGGTAATTAACGCGCTGTAGGTACTTATACCTAAAACAAAATTTCTGACAAACCTAATTAATCACTAATTAGAAAAGATTATTTAATTGAATATATATGCAAGTTCAGTATTTTGTAATTAAAATATTGTACTACCTTGTGCCCATTTTCTCTACAGTACTTAAGCTCACTCAGGTGGAGTGCTGTTAAAAATGCTTGTAATTTTTACGTACTGTAATCTTCTATTTATCTAGCAATTTAAAAATCTAAGGAAATTATGTGTACAATACAATCTTTACTAGAGGGAGACTTTGTACAAAAGTCGTTTGCTTAGGCACCTCTGTCCTATTCATGTTTCTACCATAAAGCAATTGTGTTTGCATGGTTGTGTTTTGGTTTGAAGGGTGGGATATGGCAGAGAATTTACAGGGAACAAAGAAATAAACATCTGAATCCTCAGGAATGGCAACGCATGGGGGGGAGAGAATCACGAGGGAAACAGTATACTCTGTTATGTCTATGGTACTGCTCATTGCGACGGTTACCACTTTTCATCAAATGGGCCGTCAGCTTGTTTGCCATTCTAAGTTGCATAAAAAAACTAAATATAGTGTATAGTCTCCTAATATGAGACCGTAATAGAGGCAACAGAAAAAGTTAATTTTAACAAATATATATATATATATATATATATATATATATTACAAAGAATATTGTACTTTGGTCGCTTTATCTACTAGGTTTTGCAATAAATCGTTAGGAAGATATGTGTTCAAACAGTAGCCTCAACCATAACACTTTAGTCATCAGGAATGGCAACATACGAAAAATATTGACATGATATTTAATTTGTATTAAATGTACCATCTTAGGTCATAATTATTGTACCATACATATGTATATACCATACCATACATATCTGTCACGTTATTGTACCAATCACGATAAATTTGTATGAATAATGATTGACGGGTCATGCTTGCACGCTGAATGTCGACACAAAAATAAGAGCAATCTCTATGATGAAATAATTTATCAGCGGTCTTTAATTCTGTTAAATCCTTACAAATGACCGTTGGAGACTCTGGGTCCCTGCATAGTATAGGCCATCCCATACTTTCCCGTGGGTGTCGTAAGAGGCGATGAAGGGAGCTTAGGTAGAGGAATGAGTAGCAGCGTCCCTCATAAAATATCACCAAAAGCCAAACTGCCGTTGCTAACCTCCCTGCCAAGCGTGGCACTTACTGTCAAAACCTCCCTTACAGGGGGGGGGGGTCCATGGGTCTATGTTTTATAGTGGATAATTAACAGCTGATATAACAACATTCAACTTACAAATGACTACCAATATGTAACATGAGCACTTGCATATAAATAATTTCATTTCATTTCAATGAAAGTTAATTTGTTTGTTTGTTTTTTTGCTTAATTATTACTACTAATTATGTTACTGTGGTTTAACTAATAACTATGAAATTAGATATATATGTACTATAAGAAGCATATAGGCTACTTTTTATTTCGAACAGTGAATATATCTCAGTCGTACGAGCGACGTTGCGGGTGAATTCTAGTGTTATATATTCAATTAATGTTAACGTATAAAACAAATTACATAAAATATTTTATTTAATTTTTAAATTAGTTAGATTTTTCATATTTTCTTTTGACATAAAATTTGACAAAGAAAGGAATTAACAAAGATGCAACTAACTTTTATTTTTTATTGAATTAAGGAACTAATACTTTAATTTAATTATTTTATTTTATCAAGACAAGACTAATGAACACAGTTATTTAAATAAAATTGTAGAAATGGACCGGGAAATTTCGGTTTTTATTAACTGTTATTTTTCTATTTTAAATAGAAAAAGAGAGTTATCCTATCTTTTTCTATTCAAAGTAGAAAAATAATATATGAGGTGTCTAACTTTTACCTATATTATTTTGATAAGATTTCTTGCAGAACGTAGATATATAATCGCATGGAACAGATTTCAAATTGTGATTATTAAAGGCTTGCCAAAGAATTTATCAATATTTAAAAGTTATGTGAATAAATTTTATTATATTATATATACTTACATTGTGTTTACATATGTTTATACTAAGTATTAAAAAATATTGGACTCATAAGAGTAATATTCAATTTTCTTGTAAATTTTTCTTGGCTGTAACTGTTTTCCGAATAAGGGATTTTTAAATTGTATCTTGAGAATTTATTAAGTTATAAAGGAACATTTTTTTTTTATATTTTCAACTTATTAATATTAGTACAATTACTTTCGATTATTCATGATATTATTATTTTTGCTTGTAGTGATTGCCAGAATAGATTCACAATTAATAGGTAAATACCGAGTCAATAAGCGAGAATATTGTTATGTTACATTTAGTTTTTTATTAACTTTCTT